TAGGTCATTCAAGCTTCACTGCTTCTCTTTTCTATTATGATAAGCAACATCATATTGCGTTCAGTAGTTTATGCTATTCATCACAGCCATACACGACTCTAACTGTTGTTGTATCAGTCTTTACCTTGTAACACTGCGACAATTCCTCATATGATCTATATAAGGTTATAAAATGATACAGTATATTCATAATACGACTTCGGATAACTCATTTTTGAAATAATATTTTGGCATATTCTCCGGAATTTGATAGAATTTCCTATTAATTTCCCAATTCAATGTCAAATTCTTTTTTTTAATATGTGGAGAGAAAAAATAATTTCATGCTAGTAATTTCTTTATATGAGATCGAAATCTGTTGCAAGACTCGGGGTATCTCAAATGAATGTGAGTATTAATTTCTTTTTCATCTCGAAAGATCATGGATAATCTGAGCATGAACTCTTTCATGAAAACAGACATTTCTCATTTAGTCACACTCATGCACAACTTCTTGGTGATAACTCTTTCTATTTTTGAAGTTTTAACAATAACCATAATCATTTACTTATTCTTTAAATGCTCAATTTCTAATTTTTATTACAAGAATCGAAGCCAATGAATCATTCCATTCATTCTTAGGGTTTATTTTTGCTCTGATATAAAGTAATTGGGAGTTGAACAATAAACGGGACTAGTTGCCAGCTATCTGACCACTTTTGACTTGATGTACCTGATAGAATGAGCAATCTTCTAAGAGAGAGAGAGAGAGAGAGAGAGAGCAAAGAAGTATTGTGAAGATTGAAAGAATATTATTTAAAATAATATTCATACTACTTTTGAATGCAAGTTGAATGAAAACAAAACAATGGTAATACGGAAAAAATTCTAAATGAATTCGTCTTCATGCATATATTCTTTAGAGGTCAATACCTCTTTGTTCATGTACATCTCTGATTTGGTCTAAAACTAGAAAATATTATTGAATTTTACTCTCCAGAAAAGCAATTGACAACTATACTCTCATGTTCTGACATGTTTCATCGTTAAACAAGATACTTTCCTCCTTCCTCTTCGTAATTTTCATTTATCATTAGGTCATTTCTCTCTTCTTCATTTACTCTCTCTCTCTCTCTCTCTCTCTTCCTCTCTTTCTCTCTCCTTCTCTTTCTCTATCTCTCTCTCTGCCGTTGCATCTTTTTTTTTCAATTTGATTGAGATTTCAGCTAGTAAGCACATATCAAGATAGAAGATGCATGTTGATGTATCAAAATGAATTAATTGCTCAGTTTCTTCTATGATTTGTTAGAGGAATGATTGTGATAGAAACAGCTTCTTTCATTTTCTTCAAAACATCTTTGTATGGAAGGCAAAATGAAGAATTTTTTCCTTTTCTCTGTTTCTATTTTCGTAGTCATTGATTTGGATTTTGAAAAAGTTGTGTGACTAACTGTCAGTTTTCATGCAAATATCTGGTTAGCACGCAATATAATGAGCAAATGTTCATTTTGAACAAGTTTGAAGCCATAGAAAAGCCTTTCATGTAAATTTTCAAGAATTAGTACGTTAAGCACACTATAGTTATCGTTAAAGCCTTGTTTCGTCTTAAGACATTTGCTTTTCGAATAGAAGAACAGAAGAATAGAAGAAAAGAAAGAGAGAGAGAGATAAAGAAGGAGAGTTAGAAAATAGGCGAAAAAGCAATGAATAGAGCAGCTAATTCATCTTTAACTCTTATTTTTTAAAAATAATGTATTTTTTGCTTTTCCACACACAAGAATAGTGTATAAAACAACTTGAGAATTGAGGCAGCTGAGCAAAAGTTGGAATAAAAACAACACACAACTGCAATTCTCTCATATAACGACAGCAGCTCGCTTTCACAGAGTGCTACTGAAAAAATAAGAGTTAAGGAACAGAATGTGCTGAAAGTGAGGAAGCATTCCGGGAAAGACGCAGTTGTCAACGAAATGATGTAGATGAAAAACAAAATGCATTCATCATACTTTTACTTGTGCCTAATCAATTTCTTTTTTGTCTTCGCAAATTTACCTATATGGATTATGATTCGTATTGTTTCTGTAAAAGTGTCTATGTGTGGCAATCTTAAGCCATTATTACGTTTTCTTGATTTTTTTTTTCTTTTCTTCTTTTTTTTTGAAAATTAGCTGCTCACTACCCTTTTATCCGTATTCATCTCCTTCTCTCCCACACAGTCGGAAATGCGGTAAAAGAAATACGGAAATTTCTCACATCATTCCACATTCGATGAATGAAATATGTCGACGTCATGAATTCTATCTTGCTTGATGAATAATCTTTTTTTTTCAATTTCAGTTTGAATTCAATGCTATTTCAAAGGATTAGATTAATCTGAGTTTCGTATCTCCTCTAATCTGAGCTTTCGACTATCAGATGTCTTCAGTATCTCACTTGATATGTGAACATGTCTTCTAATCTTTCTCTTTCCCTCTCTTTCACTCTCTTTCACGTACACATGATGATTCCTATTTGAATATCTGAAATGAAGGATAGGATAGTGTATTCCATCTACTTTCAAAGCATAAATTAATATTGGAAAAGCTAATTGAACACATTCCTAACTGAATTTCAAATGATCATAAAAAATGTAATTAGGCTCTCCTGTTGGTTGTGTCGTCTAATTGTTTGTAACTTACTCATATCATTATACTACTCTCTCCCATATTATAGAATTCTTCAATTTAGAAAGAGAAACTGAAAAATACTTTTCTCTTTCATGTCTCTTTAGACTTTTTCCTCTTTTTTTTCCCTCTATAATCTCTTTCTCTCTTTCACTCTCAACAACTCTCTTTATCTCTCTCTCAAATCATTCGTTTTGTTTTCTCTTCCAACGGCATCAAATTTATTGTTTCTATAATAGCTTTCTTTGGTGAAGTGTTGATGATTAAGCTTTAATATACTTTTGTTTTTTCTGTTTTCTTCATCCTCCTATATATCAAGGATTCCCTTTTTTCTCATTTTCTCATCTTTTATTATTTAGAAAACTGAATGAATTCTGTGATTTTCTTCATTTTCATATTTCTTTTTTGAGACCTTGAAACTCATTTCCATTCATTCTGTCAGTTAATTAGAGTTGGAATCTTTAAATTCACAAACACAAGAAAAAAATGCTTTTGAGATTCATCTCACATGATATTGGAAGCTTCTTCCTTTCATTTCCATAATTTTGGTTGACATCTGGCTATTTGTGAATGCTCTAAGCATTTCCTTTTTTTTTCTTTTCAAAAATTCTTTTCCTCTTCTTTCTTTATGGTTACTCGTGAACAATCAGTTATTTCAGATTGTTTTCATTATATTGTAATTGGAGTTTTCAGTTTGAAATCATACCTCAATCGGAAACCTAACCCTTACTTTCGTTCTCTCTCTCTCTCTCTCTCTCTCTCTCTCTCTCTCTCTCTCTCTTTCTAATTTACACTTGTTATCTGTCAACCTTGTAAAAATAATTTTTTTTCTTATTAGAATATCATAATCATATGCTAGCGAGATATTTCTTGGCAAAGCACAACTGTGTGTAGAATTGGTTTCCTGTGCATAGCGCAACGAGTCCATCAGCTACTCATAACGATTTTGCCTCACAATTCGTAGCAAATACCTTCCGGTTTATAATTTTTTTCTGCTGACACGAATAACGCTTTCCATTTTCGGGTTGTCATAGCAAGCTGTCAGTATGACAGCTTCATCATCATTTATCTCCTAATAATGTTTCTAATTGTTACTTTTTTTTAAACAAAAAAAAAAGAGAGAGAGAGAGGAGGGGTGGAATGAGTAGGAACAAGTGAGAAAACCAAGTAAGAAACAACCAAAAGAGAAATAAATTGAAAATACGCTAATAATACTGAATACTTTTTATTCACTTCATTCTGGATTAAATCAATTTATTCAAGTATCCATGAATAATTAAAGCTATTCACACGCACGCGTGGGTTGACATGCTATTTCAATGAATTGAAACAAAGTTTTTTTGTGCTTCTTCTTGTTGTTTTTTATTCAATTTTATTTATTTCTCTTTCGGATGAACCTTTATTGAAAGTGTGGGCAGTAGGAGGCCGTAGGGATATCAGGTAGAAGCCCGATTACTTCGGTCTCCTTGTTTCTAAGGTGAACGTGCTTCGTATCAGAACAGCTTTCAAAAACAATTCATTTTATTTTAGCTACAAATGAGAAAATCAATGCTTCAAAGGCTGGATCTCATTGTCCCACCAACAAAAAAATGGCGATGAAGTCATTTTTTCATTTAAAAATCATTGGAAAAATGATGTTTTTCGGGCATTTTTTTCTGTTTTTCTCCTTTTTTCTTTCATCCGAGTTCTCAGAAAACGCTTGAAAATAATTATTCATTCATTACCAACTTAGATGAAGCATATTCAAAAGGTATGATGAATGATGCCATAGTAGAAAAGAAAGTAAAGAACGACGCAATTTGTAGTTACGAAAGTATATCTAATAGGTTTTGAGTGAATGAGACTCAAATTGGGAAAATTGAGCATAAATAGCAGAAAAGAACATTCTACTCCTAGAGTAGATTGTGAACTATTAAAGCTTTCTTTTTTCCAGCCAACTGCTTCACCAATCTTTTATTTTTACTCGTTTCTGGGAGGTTGCTTCATAGTTTCTTCAATTCATTTGTTTTGTTTAGTCATCCTCTCTTTTTCTAGCTTGTTCATTGTAAACTATTCTCTAATTTTTCAAAATGATAAAACTAGTTGGTTGAATCGAAACTCTTACTTTCCATATCATGAGATTATTGAAATACATCCGACATATATACTTCCCTGTTCTGAACTCTGAACTTCAAGAAAACATCAATCATTCTCTTCAACTCCAACTTTTACTTTTTTCAAAACTTTGTTCAGTTTTGACTCTCAATCACACTCATTACCTCTAGGTTAAACACACTTTCAGCTTAATCATTCATGTGAGAATCAATTTTTTGATTTTGTGGCCAAGGAGAAGAAAGTTGACTGTCATTCCTCCACAAAATGCTTCAAGAACCGCTCCCGGAGCTGCGGAGCTTTCAGTCTCTATCGAAATTCGTTGGTGATCCCAGGTCGGCTTAACAAACCAGGATGAGATACTCGAAATGAGGATGACATTCGAAAGAATAGCTTAACAAGTTCAAAACCAAATTAGATGTCGCAATCGGCAATTTAAAAGAAAATAATTAGAAAGTGAGCAGGTTGGGTGGTAGACAGAAAAACTTCCTTAAATACACTCTTGTGAATTCATTATTTTGTTTAAAACATATGAGAGAGAGAAAGAGAAATTGAGAAAAAGAGAGAGAGAGAGAGAGAGAGAGAGAGAGAGA